TTCAAACTGGACCCTGAATATGCACTGTAATCTGTCTCTGAAAAGACTGAATGTGCTGAGACTTTCCTATCAGATGACTCAAGTAAAACTATCTTGACAGACAATTGTTGGCCATCTGTCACCAACTGAAACACAGAACCAAGTCTATAGCACAGGGAGATACACTACTCGAACCAGTCTGTGCCATTTCTTGAAGATGAAAGCACATTAACAGTATGTTTTATGGCAATTCACATTTGAGACTTACTTGAAAGATGTTACTCATAAAGTGCAAAGAGATGCAAATATCTAGAGGAAATGTAATTTTTCTGTTGTTGTTTTGTCTTCTATATCTGAGTTTGAGTGTGATTTCTGCTTTACTTAATGCCTTAAAATTCTGTGGAGTTTATCTAAGGCATAGCAGTAAGAAGTTCTGAGTGTGGTGGATATGTGGCCCTGGTGGTGGAGGGCTGCATTGATGCTTAAGGGACTGGAGCATCTTTCATCTGAAGGAGGCAGCGAGAGCTCAAACCATTCAGCCTGGAGAAGAGAAGGCTCAGGGAGGTCTTATCAATGTGTATAAATATCTGAAGAGAGGGGGCAGTGAGTAAAGAAGAGTTAGCCAAGCTCCTCTCAGTGGTGCCCTGTGACAGGACAAGAGGAAATAGACACAAATTAAAATGCATGAAATCCCATCTGAACACACTAAAACAGTTTTGTACTGTGAGGGCAACCAAACGATGGTACAGGTTGACCAGAGAGGGTGTGGAGTCCCATCTTTGAAGATATGACAAACCCAACTGGACATAACCCTGGGCAACTGGCTCTGGGTGGTCCCATTTGAGCAGGTGGGGTTGAACAAGATGATCTCCAGAGGTCCCTTCCAACCTCCACCTTTGTTGCTCCTCAACAAATGCAGCTGAGGAGCACCCGGACAGGCACCATGTAGTGTGGATGTGTCACGAGAACAAATATAGTGATTTCATAGCTAGGGATGAGAAAGACACCAGACTGACATCTAATCTTAGGCATCAATTTTTTTTAGCTTTTTTTACACTGTCCCATTTTCAGTTATGGAGGGATTTTTTCTAACCAGAGTAGTGTACTTACAATATTTAAGTAGAAGCTGCCAGTACCATCTGTTCATGCTATCCTGTTGTTTCCCTCTCTTTTATGACTACTGAAGCTGGTGGCAGTGAATTGTTGGGTATGTGCTGAGTTTGCTTTGGTAATTTAAGTATTCATGTCTGAAATCTTGGCTCATAATTGTTCAGTAATTGTACAAAATCTATAGCAGCTCCAAAAGTTCCTGTTATAATAAGAGAAGGTTACAAGAAACAGTATTTAAACACTGGTGGGCATTTTGTGCTTACCTACATGCCTATGTTCATTACAGCCATGTTCAGAGAATTGCAGAGTCAGTTTTGGCTGCTTGGAGATGATCCATTCCAAACTTCTCTCTCCAATAGAGGCACTAGAGTATCTCATTTTTTGTGTCCTACACTAGTATTGACACCCTCAGTTTTCGGAAGATATCACCAGACTTCGTTGTTACTCATAAAGTCATATTTCTGAGCACAAATAGTGCAGCTCTTCATGTAGACCTACTATTTTTCAGAAGGCCAAAGTAAATTAAATAGGATAAGGGAACAAAAGAAACAGTAGAGAATAGTCTTAAGAGACAGTATTACATTAGCAGCAGCTAAGCAAATATGAGTAATGTTTATAGGAAGTATACGACTAATTTAGTTCTAGTTATACTAACAGGAAATAAATAAACAGAAAATGTGAAAGGCGAGAAGATTCCGAATTAAGAAACCAGATGAGGCTTTTCATGGATGGAGATCAAAATGCCAATTAAGTTGCAAAACAACCAGTAGGTAAGATTGTGACCTTAAATAGACTAACAGAACTTTGGAGCAATGGTAGATGTATCTCTCTGTTCTACATATATGAAGAAAATTTAATATTAATAATATTTACTGAACTCTTATAGATCAAGACAATTCTATGGTTCACAATGAGACAGTGAAGAAAGGATCTTCTCCAGGATGGTGCTCTCATGCATTCATGTCATAGGTCACACACAGCCTTCTCTGAAACTTAGTCCCTAGCCTAAGGGAAAGTCAGGCAAGATTTTCTTCTCTAATAAGTTGGCTACACTGTTAGTTTTTCTTATTCTTTTTCTTACTTATTCTTTTTCTCTTTCGTTTTCATGATCTTAAAATTTACACATTTTTAATTAATGTAACACATGAACTTTGCATGTGTTATCAGTATCGTGTTGTTCCTTAAGTAGTCATTGATACTGTGCATCTAAAATTTTCTGTATGGAGAGAGCCCATTTCCCTCAGGACAGGCTCCTTGAACTCCTGTGGTTCCTAGTCTAGGTCTGGAAGTCAACTGGCTCTGGGTATATCAGTTCCACTGCCCATACAAAGCTTTGCAGATCTTTTCTGTCTTCATTGCTAAAAGAGCTGGAGTATCTGAGTTAGTTTCTTCCTCTGCTTCATATAACTTTAAAATAGTGAATAATACCAATTATTTGGTATTCTATATTATTTATACTGTAATCATGTCTGAGTGCCAATGTGGCACTAAAATTCAGTGTACAAAGTGCTACATGAGACCTCAAAAGAAAAGACCACCTTTATTCTGAACAAGTAACAGATGAGAAGGTTAAGGAATATTGGCTATTCTCTGACTAGTAATTAAGTCAGAGACAGTATCAATGTAACCAGTTTTACAGGATTGGATATTAAATGGTACCCACCATCCTTCTATGAAAGCCCTATTTATTTATTTATTTATTTTAAAAAAATGGTCACCTTACATCTGCGTCCTTTTATATCACTCAATTGAAAAGTTAGCCAATTCAATAAGATATTTGCTGATTCACGTACGAAGGTCTCTAGAGCCCCGCGTAACAATGTCACTGCTACAGCCCTGTCAGCATGGTGATAGGAGCTCACAGAACAGACAAAATGAAACCTGTGGGCTCAAGGGTTTTCTGGCAACATCTGAAGTTTCAGAGATGTTGAAAATTATTGATTTTCTTGTGAAAAGCCATTACAGACTGGCTACATGACCCATTTATTCCATTTAGAGGAAATCCGTTGACTAGGGAGTACCACACCTTGGGGAACCCAAGGCAGTTTTGCTTTCTGACTCTACTCTTGGTATCAACCAAGATCCTCTTCTAGGAACAAACTAGGAGTAAGCTGCTAATCTGCTGTCCACATACATCGTACCCTGAGGTTTGGTGCACCTCATCTGTCAAGCCTGATGGCATTTAGAGAGTTTGTGTACAGACCACAGTTCAAATGAACACTAAAATGCACATAGGGCCTCAGGTCTCCACCATCGTCTCCACTTTCCAAAAGTCTAAGCTCTCCTCCCCTTGTTTGTCCTCTTTGTCCCTGGACCCCATCAGCACTTCAGTGTTGGTGAAGATACTGGGATGTGTGGATGGTCCTGTTGTAAAATGCATTTCCCAGAGCTGTTACAGGTGAGACTCCTGAAGCTGGATTTGAGTCCAGCTTGGCCTGGAGGCTGCATGCATGTTTGTGTAAATGGCCAGTGGAATCAAAGCTGGGTGAGTTTATTACCCCACTCATCTTACCCTTCTTCTTCTCAAAGTCAACTCATGCCCCTGGCATGGGCATGTTGGTGGTGCCATAATGGCGCACGCAGCTCTGCTGCTGGCTCTAGCAACTCAGAGTCTCTCTGAGTGGTATCAGTTGTAGCCTAAATAATTTTCTCTGATCCATTTAAGCCCTTCTGTGTTGCTCTTGAAACATTAAAGGAATTAAAAACTCTCCTGGGTGAACATTTGAAGAGCTTGCTTTTACTTCCAACAAAAATGGTATCACTATAGGCTGAAGTATTACTATACTGGACCAAAAACTGCTTTCTCCCTTTTCTTGCATACACCTCAGCCAGTCCCAGGGGTCTTGACATTTGACTTCCATTGTTCCTTGCCTTAACAGCCTCACATTTGTAGTGTCATTTCAGCATTTCCAAGTCTATCCTTGGTGTGATGTTCCTTGCATGTCTAGAGTGGCACCTGAGAAACTCTCAGCATTTGGTTGTCTCAGAAACAGGCCAAAGACATAGACTGACCAATCTCTGTTGGAGTAACTCTGTAGAAGAGTGACCATCTGACTCTATGACCTTACTTTTACCTCCTCTGTGATGGGTATGCTGGGACCTTGCACGTTATTTCCCAGTTGCCGCAGCTCTTAGCGGGCTCATGAGGCAACTTGACAACCAGGCATGCCCCGGTTCTCGAACAGAGCCCTTCCTGGAGCCCTCCCTTTCACACTAAACCTCCTGCTTCTTCTGGGGCAAATTCTGCCCTGGCAAAAGACTAATTACAGACATTAAAATAGGCAGCAAACTTCTTTGTTACTAGTTGCTGTAACCCTGAAACAAAACACTTCTTAAAGACTGGACAGAGAAGTTTTAAAGGCAGTGCAGTGCAGTGCAGTCCAACATCCTTATAAATAACTGATTTTCTAATGTTTCTTAGGGTAAATTAGCAAAGATTTTTTTCTCTCCAGGCCATTACCTTTCAGAAAAGCGATATCATAAGGTTTTGTGGAAAAATAAAAAAATATTTCACACATCTGGTATACTTTGTTACGAAACCAAACTAACCAGCTCATTTACTTTTTCCTCACTTGACCACCACTTAAATGAAAGAAGACTTCTCACATGAGAGAGAAGTTCTTCTTTCTTGGAAACCTTGACCCTGCTGCCAGTAAATATGGAGATATCGTTTAGAAAAACGTCACAGATGATTGTGGTCAAATTTGTTGAAAGTGGAGCAAGACGTATAAAAAAGCACAGCAACAATACTGATCAGCCAGCACACGAGCAATAGGTTATCTACATGAGCATCTCAGCGCAGAAGCTGCTTTGAGGGTTAACAAAATTAGGTTAACCTCTGCCATCTAACCAGTCTTGCTGTGTCACATACGCCGCTGTGACTGTAGAGGCACGAAGATTTGGGAGCGAAGATGAAATTATATTCTGTTTTCAGATCTGGGCATTTTCTAGTTCTGCTTTGTCTTTTCACTGTAGAAGGCAAAAAGTCAGCTACAGGAAAGCATACCTGCCGAAAAGGACTCCTCTCTCAAGTGACAGAGAACCTGTGTATCAAGGCAACTAGTTTAAAATCATCTGTTCCTGTAAGTTGATCCCAGTAGTTGAAAAGTTTATTTTATTTATAGACGCTTCTTTACCAGCTTTGTTACTGAGCACCTAGAAACTTTAATAAGCCAAATGTTATCTACAGTCCTGAGATACAGGACACTGCCGCTAATCCTTTTGTAAAGATGGGAGAAAAGAAGATGCATAGGGAGGTGGGATGAGTTTGCCAAGGAGTTTGCCATGGAAGAAGTTTGTAGCTAGGCTGGGATTGGAACACAGATTTGCTGAGTCCTCATCTGAATAAGATGATGATTATTATTACTATTAAGTTTGGTACAAACAAGACTTAAAACTCTGTCTCCTTTTCTATGCTTAGGTTAATTAATACTAGCACATTATATTTTACAGAAGGATCTCATCAAGAACACAAGACTGCTTAAAAAGACAACAAAAATACTGTTTATGGTAAGATTTATACTACTGGTTTTCCATTTTCTTACTTTGATTTTCCTTTGTTCTGTAGAGATAGCAATGTGTGATCAAAAGGAATGACAACCGACACAAAAATCACGTGTGTTTAATTGGGAAGGACATGATAATTATGAAAGCCATATGTTTAATGAAGTCCTCTGCTTAGAGGAAGTGTTATCTCTGCCCCATAGAAAGGGATATTCCCCTGGGACACGAGGGGAGAATTGACCGTGATATGGGGGAAAGAGGTGGATTTGGAAAGCCTGTCTGGAGGCACTTCTCTCTAGGTGGTTGCAGCGGTGCTCTGCCAGAGGAGTTGGGGCGAGAGTGTTTGCCGTGTTCGGGGAAGGGTGCTCGTGATAGCTCCTGTGAGCACCTGTCTGTGTCCGATCCTCCCCAGAAATGCTTTCAGACACCAGCCCTTTCACATGAGGGCCAGGGCCTCAGCCACTGTCTCAGCAGTTGAGGTACCTTCTGCTGAGGGTGTGTGGTACCATGGACAGCCCGGGGATGTTGCAGAGCAGCCAGGACACCCAAGGAGCTGCTTTGGGCTTTGACCTTTGCAGGTACACTGGAGGAGGGGAGATCAGAGCTCCCCAGTGTGACTCAGCATGGGAGTGAGGACATTAAACTTCATGTGCCTATTTGTGTGCCTATTCATAAGTGACTACAAGTGTGTGAGATATTTTCGCTTTCTTAATGCAGAGATGTAGTCAGCAGGGCCAACTGAGTCAGTTTATCCTGAAGTAGAGACCTACTGGCCTTTGAACTCCCCTGGATCTCATTGATTACCTTGCCAGTGAAGGCTCCTCACTTGCCTGTGGGACCTACACCTGGGTACTTGCATTTGGGTGGCTTAATCTGCAGCTGCATTACCCTCCAGGTGGGAATTTCACAGCTGATACTTGGTTCCATTGCCTAAAAATAGGCATATAGCCATTTGAAATACCTTTGGGTATGCAAGAGATCCCACAGACCCGTGTGGAATAATTGCTGGAGGTAACTAAAAATCAGAAAATGGCTGTGTCCACACACTAAAGGAAGGTATGGTGTCAAAGAAAATCCCAGGTGAAAAACGCTACTGGTATGCCAGGAATTTAATAACATCACCTTTTTCCTGGGTGTTTACTGGTACAGGAGATGGGAAAAAATGCAGGCTTCTTCTCCGACTCCCAGAACCAGTCACGGTTTTGACTCCACAAGGCTTGATGTATGTTCTACTAGTGATTCCGGATCGACACTTGGCACCCCTTTCTGACAACTACCTCCCCTGTGGACCTTGATGAAAACCATAGCTCCATATCACTGACCCCCGCTCTTTCCCCCTCATAGAGAGCATCTCTAAGTTTTGGTAATTTCTACTATAAAAGGGGAATGGAAGTGCCTTTTGCCAATTACCGTAAAGGTATGACTAGAGTCACTCAAGCTCCACCTTGCAGGTAAAAAGTAATATAAAAATAGCCCAAAGAAAGGAGGGAATTAGGGAAGACACCATCACAACCAGGGAAGATGCCAACACCAACAAGTCAGGGATGACTCCATCACTGACCTCTGACCCCTGGGACCAGCTGACGGGCTGAGTCTCTCTTCCCCCACATTGGGAGGCCTTTAGGTAAGACTAAGACTTAGACTTAGAGGAGGATCTTCCTCAGAAACTTAGAAAATCTCTAGAGAATTATTCTACCAACCTAGCTCTTTGTAGTAACTTGTTACCTTTTAGCAATTAATAACACTTCCAATAACTGGTAACCTGAATGCTTGTATATACTTCTTCAGACAGTGGTTTATCACTGGCAATCCATACGAATCTATATTAATCCTGTTGCTCTATTAAAGGTGCTTTCATTTGCTTACAGACTTGCTGCACAATTTCTTATTGGGCTGCTGCCTGATAAGGCTGTGAGAGTCCGTAGGCTGTGACTGGCCAACAGGTGTGGGACACTATCGAGTGAATCCGGCACTGGTGTGTCCAGGCTTGTAGGGGAACATTCAACTTTGTCTGTCTGTAACCAGCCACACCAACCCTGTGCCCAATGGGATGCCACTAAGTGCTGCAGGTTTAGCCATGTGAGTCCATAAATCATGGGTACGGGAGTAAAATGCACTATTGAATGAGTCCGCCATTGTCAGACCTGTGGTGCTTAATTGGGCATCACTCAGGATCTAAGCCTGGCCACCCCCAGCTCCTCCAGTTATCTGAGGGTGAGTTGGGACACAAAGGCATTTATTTCCTGCTAAGTTGCTTTACTACTCCTTTCACACAACAACCAGTCAGATATGACACAGGGTGTACAGGATGACTGTTCTCTTCTGGAGCAGTAGTTGAGGATGGGCAGTATACCCTACAGCATCTCTAATGTCATGGGACAGTAACACTCACAATGCCTCCTACAATTTGGCCAACATGGTCTGATTTAAGTCCTCAATTTATCTTCCATTTATTCTTTGTGTGTTAAACAGATTTGTTGCTGTCAGTTCTGTTTATGGTTGGTCTTATCAATACTCTTTTGGATGCCAGCACAGCATCCTCCTGCCTTTCATTCAGAAACTACAGGTGTAAATTGAATTGTTCAAAGAAAAAGGAAGCAATCCAATAGGATACTAAAATTAATGAAAATGTTTTTATTGATTATATGCTTTCTAAACACGCACATTTTTATGAGACTGAAGTTTTAGGCCAGAGTCGATTTGTGAGGTTTTCATTTGGCAACTCTTTACCTGCTTTGTTTTCAGACAAACTGCAGTGTTCGAGATCAGCTCCTCTCCTTCTACATGAAACATGTTTTCAGTCATCTTGGAGTAAGAAGTGACAAGTTGTACATTATTAGTGCCTTCCAGGTTCTGCAAGCAAACATGAATGCCTGTGTGAGTATATTCCTAAGAGTCAAGCTACGTTTGTCCAGCTGAAAGGCTACGGAAGGGCTCCATCTCAGTTTTTCAGCAGCTAGAGAGGATGATTCAGAGCCATGGTGTGCCCCACATCACACAGGACCCAACTTCCCAAGGTCTTCCCCACTGGGGCCAGGGAAGTTTAATACCATTCATTTCCTCCAGAGTGAGCTCATGGAGAGCAGGCAAGGTGATAGAGATACCACAGAGACAAGTGACTTCCCTACTGATGTTGTCACCTTGTGCTGCCCTCTCAGCAACAAAGCTGCAAAGAGACAGGGTAATCACAGGGAGAAATGTGGGTCCTCAGGTTTTGATGATGTAACAGTGGTTATGCTTTCCTTCTTCAACAGCATCCCCACTGGATGTGTGTAATCTTTGCTCAATGTCATCTCTGCTCCTCTATACTGATTTTTGAAAGAGCTGGTCATGTCTCATGAGGAAGCAGGGATTGCAATTATGAAGCATGTTGGAGCAATTTCCATGTGTCAGCCATGCCCACAGTGGGAACAGGTCAGGGAGTGATGCTGCCCACTGGCAAAATGTCCCTAGAATGGATACAGGTGTCCCAGGGAAAAGGCACTTTTACAAACATTATGTCATCGTCCCACCCTGTAACTAACAACAGGACAACAGTTAAAGCACATTTTTTCCCATGCAAATATGCACACTAACATACTACGATGCTAAGACAACACTGTCACTTGTAGGTCATTTCTCTTGTCTTATTTTTAAGGGTAGATGAATAACAACAGGATGTGCCTTAAAACTTTATATCCTATGGCTATTTGTTTTTCTGCTCTAAACCTGCAGTCCTCACTAGTCACACTGTCCCAAAAAGTGGATTGTGACATGGATATCCAGGCAAATGTCTATAGTAATTTTTAAAAGTGAGAGAAGGATGAGAAGTCAATGAAATGTTAATGAATCAAAAGTTCATCTAATCTGAATTGTACAGTAGCATGAAAGAAAAGGACATTGGTTCTACATACACACAAATATTTGCAATTCAAAAATAGAATAGAATAGAAGCTTCAGAGATTTCTTTGCAGTGCTATAGCTCAGAACACAACTAGAAAATTTGCATAATGTAAAAAGATTCAAATCTCAGTGGGAGAAAACTCCACCAGCTTTCAGGTTCTGCAGTTAAAACGGTGCTAAACAGTTGCAATTTATAGTAATTATTCACAGCACTCAGCACACCACTGTGGTTATCTGTGTCTGTCAAAATTCCAGATATTTTATGCTATGATGTACTTTACAGAGATTTCATTCTTGTATGGAAAAGCAGTTACACTCCATACAAGTGTCAGTGCACACTCAGAAGTTCAAACTGCCAACAGTGACTGAATTCAGGATAGCAGTTATTTTGAAATGCCATCAGTGACTCGAGCTTGCTATGTAACTTAGTAATAAGCTTGCTTCTGTGCTGTGTGCAGACAAAATGCTGCAGATTTCTCAGAGCTCCTTCATTCTTTTTCATAATTAGTGCTAATGTTTTACCCAACACAAGTCTAAACATAACAATTTACATATTTGGAACTTCAAAAATACTGTTAGGAGAGAAAAGACTTCCTCCGGTAGTAGAAAAACAATGGCTCTTTGAGAAATGATGACTTGTCATTATTTTCTAGGAGACATCTAGTTTCTGGAAACTAACATTTTAAAAAGTATTTGTATTAATTCAAAGCCAACAATACAAAACTATATGAAAGACTAATAGAAACTGTGAACAGAATGAAAGTAATGGATCCTTTGCTAATACAAAATCTGGGATTTCTTCATCACATTATTCCTTAATAAATTAGTAAACTAATTAATCCATCTACATAAGCTCTTTAATTTTTATTATCTAATTGAGTTATAAGAAGTTTATCAGAAGGGGTTTCCACCATGGCAAAATACTCATCTAATGAATTTGTTACCTTTCAAGGATAATATTCTTGAGACAATTGAGGGAAACAGTGATACCTTTATACACATACTCATCCTGCATTTTGTCATAAACTCAGACTCTAGTTCAGCCAGCTAGAGGTATATGTGCCATTTAAAAAAATCCTAACAGTATTTGTCTCCAAACTACTTCCAAAGACTTTTTACTATATTATTATTATGATTCTTACCCTGCTAGTTCTTGGTTTTGTCCAAACAAGGAAACATTAATATTTTCCAATGATTTAGGAGCACAAGTCCCGTTTTTCAAAAATATCTAGGTACTAAAATCTCTAAATCCCTTTTCTGCAATGAAATTGGGCTCTTTCATTTACAGCATGACTGCATGGTAAAGGAAACAGATATATTTCCTTGGATACTGAGAGCACCCACCTGCAGCACCACTGGCCTCAGCAAAAGCCTCTTTACTTGCTCGTGTGTCCTATTGAGTCAGCAACATTGCCAAGAGCAGTATGAAGTTGCTTCTGGGGTTAGACATATTCCTACATCAGTGGCAGATTATGGAAGTTTTTTTCTCCTATTTCAGTGGAATGTGGAAAGGCAATATATTCTTTGCAGGGTTTTCAGTCATTGCTCTATTGTCATAGGCAGAGCTTGTAGACCTCTAGCAGAGATTGCAGCATTGTTCGCAAGCTAACTTGTTTGCTCATTTGTTTACTTGTTGTTTATGCAGGGAGAACAGAGTTTGTAACGTGTATTACCACTCAAGCCAGCATAGTCATTAAGGTCAGTCCTGCTACTGAATGATTTCTGTAGAAATACACTTTGTACAAGCTGACTTTGTCTTTAAAAAAAAAAAAAAAAGCCCCTAGAACTGCCCTAGTTAGAAGGTTTTTAAAAGTTTACAAATTAGAGTTGCTTTTATTTGCGCTTTCATCCTGCAAGATGACTTTAAGAAGCACAAAAGGGGACTTGAAAGAGAAAATTGTGGCTCCTTTTTAAAACCTCTGTGTGAGGTAGAAAGAAGGACTAACCATCTGTTTCAGTGGAGTCACCTCTTTTCATGTGAGTTCAGGACATCTGCCTTTTGCATTTTCAAACACATTGTCCTCGTTCATAGATTGGAAAATGTCAGTTTCTTCCACTTTTTTCCCTGAAAAAAAATATTCTTCTTCCTGGAAAGCCTGGAGAGCTGGGGAGTCAGCAAGATGGCTTGCTCAGAAAGCTCAGCCAGGCAGCTCCGAAACGCCCAGCTGGACTAGCTTTGGCCAGCCGGCACTGGCCCATCAGAGCTGGTTAATGAGTCCCCCAGTGTTCTTGCTCCTGACAACCCTCTGGGATGGAGCACCGACTCGCTGATGCTGTCAGCCATGCCCCAGCTGGCTGGGTTATACCCAGGGTGCAGCCTTTGGGTCCTCTAGGATGAACTGATTGACTTTTTCCTTTCTAAAATCAGCTTCCAACTCAAATCTTGCAGTGATGAGAGTCCTGTGTCTCTGATATCACAGCGGGGGTAGAGAGATGCCAGAACTTGCAAGTAAGACATTGTTGACTGACTTGGGTAGGATGCCTGGGAGCTGGGTAGATCCTGCTGGTAAAACTCCCAGTGACCTAAATGGAAAAAAACTTAGCTTGACAAAAGGGTGCAAGATTAGCCTGTAATTAGTCAGAGAGTGGAGGAATGGGCAGAAATATAGGGTGAAGCATAAATTAACTTTATAAACATGTTTGTAGGGTTTGCAGAAATGCATAAAACTGCCCTCTATACTTTGCAAAGGTCTTTGGCCCTTAGCCTCACCTTATCTGAAGATGCAGAGTTGAAGGGCCCTGAATCTTAGAGCTAGGTTGCACTGTGCAAAAGCTGTAACTGCAACTGATGTAAAGATAAATAGAAAGTGTTTGATAAGAAGACTCAGTGGTATTCATATTACATTTTTTTGTGCTGTGATCTCAACTTTCCAGGAAGAACACAGGTAAAATAACACACTTGTAGCAGGAGATGCTGAAACAATGCTGAGTTCACACATTTTACCAGTAGTCCTATGGTGCCACACTGTGGGTTGGAGTCTTCCTCATCACTATGTCTGCAACAAGCTCTTTTGGTTTCTTTTAATCCCTTCAGCTTCCATGTGCCCCATCCACAAGGTTAACTTCTGCTGTCAAAAAATTAAAGAAAACATTTCTTAAGGTAAGAACAGGAGACACTGGCTCCCAGCCACACTGTTAAAGGGCTGCAGGTGGTTTCTTTTCTGAGGTCTTTATCTTCTCAACAGCTTGGAGAGAAGGGAATCTACAAGGCCATCCATGAGCTGGATATTCTCCTTCCCTGGATTCAGGCCTACATACAAAGCATCGTATGAAGAATGAGGATGTGAGAGACAACTGTACTAACTCTTCTGTACTAAGAACAGATCCTTACCCAAAAGGCCTGAAAATCAACTGAGAGCCGTGCAACGGGCCTGGCAGTAATGCTGTACCACTGAAGGAGAGCCTCTAATACAGTGGCATAAAGAGGGATTTTCAAGAGCTTTCATGGTTGGCCAGGCTTAGCAGCCACGCTGGTCCTGCAGTGGGAGAGAAGCCTCCAGCGCAGTTACAGCGTGACCTACCTCTCGTCCCGCCTGCCTGCCAGCTGCCTCATAAACAGACCCCAGACACATTGCATGAGCGTAACGTGAAATCTGCTACTGTCCAGATCAGACACAATGTCCTGTGTGCTGTGGGCATGATCTAGCCATGCCTTGTGCCCATGTGATTACAATTCAAAGTAAAGAGGATGACTTGAAAATCCTCCCCTAAGCTATACTTTTTAATTTTTTTTGTTATAGCTATGTAACTACACACAAACCATTCTACATATAAATAAGAAAATTAATTATATACTCCTTATCATTGTTATTAATTTAAGGTAATAATTGATCGCTAATAAACATACTTCAATTAATGTCAAAACTTTGGTCTATGATTCATGCATGACCTTCAGAAGTCACATGCTCTACATGAGATCACACAGTGCAGAAAACACAATAAATGGATTGTCTTTGCCTAGGATTGCAAAATGGTTTGAGAGAGATTTATGGGAAGTTGTTACTCAAATGATGACAGTCATTTCCAAAATATCTTCCATGTAGCACAGAATGAAGACGGAGTTCCAGTTTTCTCAAATTCTTAAAGATTTAACAGAACCAACTATCTAGGTGGTGAAAATATTCCCAGTCTGTATGTTCGTGTTTCCACGGGAGTGAGACACTGCAAAATTTCAGATCTCATAGAACTAATAGGTCAGGGGCATTGAATACATCGGTGTGCTGACACCGAAGAGCCTGAGCCAGTTCCTCCTCTGTGTTGTGGCCTTCTGCAACCCAGGGCTGGCGGTTGGTCTCTGACAAGTGATCTTTTGATTCCAAGGCCCAACTACATTGCCTCTCTGAAGAGGCTATGGTCAGCACACCTTCATTTTTATTCCTTCAGGGACCACGCAGACACTCTTTGGGGTCCCCACACAGGTGGTAGCTAGAGCAGCAGGAGGCAGCCTGGCTATTCCCACTCCTGGATGCATGAAAGGACCACCACAGCTGTTGATGGGCTGTTGATCATCTAGGTGAGTTGTTAGTGTCTGGTGAGGGTTGAGGATAGAGAGGAGCATTGTCCAGTCTTTAAACTTGCAAATCATTGCCCAGCATCCTGGAGGAGACAAAGCATGAAGCTATGAGTGAATCCAGCTTGTGACCTGCTTCTGTTGGGATCAGAACTACATGCTAGCCTGTAGTCCAGCAGTTCCTTACAACCCCACCTCACCTCTCCCTGCCCACAAACTGTGTGCGACTTGTCCTTTCTGATGCCTCAGAGATGTGGAGCATGGCAGGCTTTCTCTTCCATCTTCTTCCATAGCTTTGCAACACCCTGCACCAGTACCAGCCACTTGTTGCAAAAGCTAAAGAAAAGCAATATCAAATTGCAATGTGCAAGTTACTCATTAGTACCCTCTACTTTTGGGAATCTGCCAAAGCATTCAGCAAATCTCAGCAACAGCAGCTTCTGACGACAACTCACTATTTTTAAGCATTGGTGCTTTATATAAGAAATTACCTCAGACGGATGCAAAGGCTTATCTTCAATGAAAGCACAGGCCAATTTCTTTATACTTATGTTTAATATGAAAAATGGTAGAATAAAGACATGAGTCTTTCAGCATAAGCAATGATCTGTCATACCATTGTCTTTCTAGCTTTGTATTCTACCAATTAACATCAAGGAATTATACGAGTTACATGGTGAAATATAGGACATTTTTCCATTAAAGTACAATGGTGGATGGTCTTGGGAAATACCACTGAGGGACTATGCTGCCAGGACAGCCATAACAATGTACACTTTGTGCGGTCAGTGTACTCCAGAGTTCAGCAGTCAGTGCCATGGCACTGGTACATATCTTTTGCAGGGACCTCTCGATGTCCCTGTGTCCCCATCACACATTAAATTTCCCAGTTCAGAGGAGCTGACTGAACGTGCCTGTTAACACATTCAAATAAAGACTGAAGATGTTTTAGTCTAACAGTTATGTAAAGAAATGTTCACACATAGTAGTTTCTGTTTGCTGAGCTTTTTCCTCCGTTACAATGATTTCACCTGATCCTGTATATCCCACAGGTTTGGTAAAAAGAAGGGCAAAGAGCTCTAAAAGGAGGAAAAAAAATCCAACAGCCTCTGCTGTGGACAATTCTCAGGTAAATTCTATTTCTTGTTACTTTTGTGAAGATGGGAAATCAGTTGTGCAAAAAAAAAAAAAGGAATTATGATACATGAATAAACCAATATTATCTCTCTCATAACTAGTCAGATGGTGACTGAAAGCTTCCCTATGTAGAGCTCATATTTTTTTTGACCTGTGTCATTTTCACATTGTCTTCAATCTCCAGCTTCCTCGGCTGTTGACATGAAAGGACAGAGCTTGGGAATAGACTGCCCAAGTGACCATGGCAAGAGTAAAAGAGAAGAGTGAGAATATTTTGTAAGATAAATTCAGTTGCAAACTGTCCTGTAAAAGCAAGTCATTGCCAAATTATTGCCAAAATAGCACATTCAAGGAGAAGTAGCATGGAAAGCCAGCCCAGTACTTTAATTAACATGAGGCTGCAGAGACAGACCAGGGCAGACACAGGATCCTGTGAGTCAGGACTCATCCTGCCACACCCAGCTGGAGCAGGAGCCTAAACATTTCCCAGGGAGTGATGCTTGTTCCAGGGTGAGCTGGGCAGTGGGGGGGACCTGAGGAAAGGGAGTTACAACTGGCTGAGGGTATGTTCACTTGCTCGCCCCTAAGAACCTAACTCTGTCATTTCAAATGTTCATTCTGCAGACGAACAAATGTGTCTAAGTATCACCATCCTGTGGAGTCAATATTCAACATCAGCTTGCAGGGTCAGGGCAAATGTCTAAATAATACAAGAATACATTTTTATTTGCAAATATTTTTTTTTCAGTTAAAAACAAAATGGTTAATTAGAGGGACAGTGACAAAGGTCGTACATTTAACGTTGTGGTCTTTTTCGAGCACGTAATTAAATTTTCATTTAACGTGGTGTCCATTTTCATGGATTTGTTCACACAGCTCATCCATTTGTTTGTGAGATTTAGTTTTGCTTTCTGTTTTGATGTTGTTTTTTTTTCTCAAATGTGGTGTATGAACAAGAAAACTGGCTATGGGCATGGCCTCACCAACCTTCACTGGACGTCAGGATGCAGTCCTCGTCGCTGGCAGGGAGCAGTAGCCGGGATCTGGGGGCTCAGCGCAGTAGCCTCCATGGCTGAGGGAGCAGGAGAGGTTGCTGCTTATCAGGCATAGAATGGAGACAGTGACACCTGCAAACAGAAGAACTTCCATGTTTAATTCAGAGGATCCATGGACAATATTTTCAGATGATTCAGGTTGCTGAAGATTTTTTTTGTGGAATTTTTGCCAAGCTACCACATCCAGCCAATGGGATTTTCAGGTGGCTTGTTTTTTTTTCTTTTTTAAAACTTTTTTTCTCTCCTCATATCTGTTCAGAGTTGAGAAAGAAAAAATTCCAGAAGTGGTCTACAATTATTTCATGTGGATTATTTGTGTTATCAGCTGTGGTAAGATGTGAAGGTGGATATGAGCTCCTTGGCTAAAAATAATTTCACAAAACAAGCACTACCTCCTATTTTTCAAAGGAAAGCAGAGGTACACAAGTGACACAAAGAGACAGATTAGCTTTGAAATGGGCCTAAGTGGATCAGACAGTTCTTCTTCCAGCTGGATTTAGGTAATTTGTCTAATTACGTATCAACCCACAAATAGCACCTTCTTCCCTGATGACTGGCGTGGTGCCCCATGGTGGAGGGGTGAGGAAGGGCAAGCCTGGCTTCCTGGGGGTCAGTCTCTGGGCATGGTGCATGCCTTCATGCAGTAATGAAAATCATATTTCCAAAGTAATTAAACAGTCTTGAACGAAAGACAAAATATGGCACCTGCAAAATACAGTTCATTATTTAACAAAGAAGTCTTGGAATAAATGACAGATGCTATATACAAACCATTTATCAACAAATATTGTGTTGCATCTTCACAAAACCAGCAAAATTATTACTGCTAAATACATTTAACTGATGATTTAAAGTAATGATATGGACAAAGGCTTGCTGCCTGTTAAAGCTGGATGAGTAAAGGAAAACTTTTTAATTTCTTAGATAAAACTCTAGGTGTCACTCTTTGAAAACAAGACTCATGTTAGTCCCAGTTTACTTCTGACTCTTCACTTGATGGAGAAAGTGTTAGAGCATGTTTCATAAGTAGTTTCCTTGGATGGAAAACTGAGACAGATATGCAGTTGGATTAGCAGAGGCTTTTTAAAGTTCAATTGCCACAAACTTAGAACTGAAAATAAAAATGTGGAGGAAGAAAGGTGGGCATATAACCAAAGACTGGGGTTATAGATCAGATATTAATTCAGTCCCTGGTTTTACCACAGACTTCCTATGTGACCGTAGGTCAATTGCTTCATTAAGGTTCTATTCTCCTTTGGCAAATGGAAAAACAGTCTATCAATTTTTTGCCTAAGTTAATTTATCTTTACTTTGCATACAGAAACTTTCATAAGGAAATTAATACATGTGTAGTGTTAACTGTTGTCTCTATTGCTTAGCGTGTCTTGTCTTATCACGATCTTTTGGTCTTTGTATCATAGAATCACAGAATCACAGAATCATAGAATCATTAAGTTTGAAAAAGACCTCTATGATCATAAAATCCAACCATCAACCCAACACCACCATGTCCCTAAGTGCCTACTATATCTTGCCCACATCTACTCATCTTTTAAATACCTCCAGGGAT